GAGATAATGTGAGACACATATGTAATTTTAAATTTTCTAGTAGCTACACTTAAAAATCTTTTAATCATGTAAGATCATTTTTAATAATATATTTAACCCAATATATCAAATATACTAAACATGTAATCGATATAAAAAGTTATTACTGAGATATTTTATATTCTATTTTTCATAATACATCTATAAAAATCCAGTGTGTATTTCACACTTCCAGCACATCTCAATTCAGACTGACTACATTTCAAGTGTTCAATTGCTAGATGTAGTTAGTTAATGGACCCTGATTTAGATGCATAGATCTAGATGCTCATTAACTTTGGATGTGAGTGATCTATAACTCTGGCTGAATCACTTCTTTATAAATGGGTCCAAAACCTCACAAAATGGAGAAAAAGAAACAAAAAAAGCTCTAAGTATTGATGATTTTACTATTTTCTTACTAAGTGACCTTAATAAATACTGTATTTCAAGGAGCTAATAATAAGGACAGTACTCTTTGAATTTAGAAAAAATAATCACATCTTTTTAAGAAGTGTCGGAAGTCTGTCCTTGCTTTAGAAAAAACATATTTTGAAACTGGTAAACCTACACAGAATTCTGTAGTAAGCATGGTTATCACAGAGGCAAAAAGACCCACAGTGTTTAAAACGTTCTTAAAATATTTTAAAGAACGTTTCCATTCTCACTGTGCTAAAAGCACAAAAGCTCTCCTGGGGCCCACCCTAGGCTTGCCAGCTCAATGTACCATCTTTGGCAGTTAAAAAAAAAAAAAAAGAAAGTCCCTCCACCTTCTCCTCCCTTTACTACTTGAGCTGATTTCACAAGATCTTTACATGCTTTATTTACTATTCATTTTCATCCTTGGGAGAGAAACTTGAAATATTTATTCACAAGACATAATTCTTTAAAAATATTTCATAAGGCAAGGATTTGGTAAATGGCAGGAAAAAAAAGTGTCTGCAACAATCAGTGTAATTATTATCCCTGAAATTGCATTTTTAAATATTTTAATAAGTAAAAGAGTTTTCTGCAAAACCAGGCAAAGAACTAAGAGAATAAAAAGGCTCAAAAATCCCAGGTAAATAAGCCTCTCAGGCTGTGTGTGTGTGTATACATGCTTAATTCTTACATAAAACCCAACAACATTAATCATGTCTATAAAATGATAACCAAAACAACAGCTCTCGCTCTGCAGTCAGCCGTACAAGCAAGCATTTTCTAGCCATAACCCACCACTCTGAGCAAACAACTGATGGGCAGCGGTCCTTTTGTCAGATTCTGACAAGTGAATCAATAAAAAGACACAGCAAAAGTTCAATCAGAACAGACACCACTAATACGGCTGGCCTTTTGGGACCCACATAAGCGTGGAACTGCTTTTCCATGTTAATTTCTCTTCACTACCCCTTGGGGTTATCACCTTCTCTGGCCCCTGTTAATTAAAAACTGCCTCCTTCTAAAGTTCCTTGGCAGGCATTTCCCTCGTGTCAGACTATTCTGCTGACTGCTAAAAGAAATGGAGGAAGGCGTGTTCCCAAGCAGAGAATGCTAGGATGCCAGAAATCTGCTCCTTCCCCCCACCAAAAGACTGTGTATAATCAAATAATCTGATTGGATGGCATTCTTTATATTGCAATTAACTAACAAAAAACACATAGGAACAATTAAAAATAACACTCTGATTATCAAACAGTGAAATAAATAGCTAGGTAGGCAAATTAATACATCAGTAGACAGTCTTGGCATACTATTTTTTTGATTAGCCTTATTTTTGAACTTGCTGATTTAAAAATTTTAATTATGTACACATTTCTATTTGTTGGTTCTCCCTTGCACTTAGTTCTTGCATTCTTTCTTCTCCTATAACAGAGACAAATTTATTTCTACCTATTTGCTAATCTTCAATTAATATCAGGATTGACCCTAACAACCAGGTTACTTTGTGTTTGCGCCAAAATCTCTAAGAAAAAAAAAATGTTTAGATTTAAAAAATGGTAGCTAGGTCCTCTTAGCTGTGTTAATGACAAATATAAATTACCTATGTGGCTAGGTGGTCAGATTATTCCAAATTGATTGTTTGGTTAAACATGCTTTTATTTATTTTACACCAAAAAATATGGCAGTACATCCAAAAAGAAGCATATATACTAAAAGTGAGTCTCTCGGTTCACCGAGACCAACCCAATCGTATTCCTATCATTAACTATTAGTATAATTTAGATTTTCCCATGAATTTACAAATACATATACAAATACGTGATACTGTCTTGTTACTTATACAACAAATCATAATGTATACCTTTCCACTACTTGTGGGTTTTTTTTTACTTAATAATGCATCCTGGAGCAGTTTCTATGCCAATTGATCTTATTCTATTAAGCTGCTAAACAGTATTTCACAATATGCATTCACTAAAATCCAAAACAATTCATGTAATAGACATACAAGTCTCCTTTTATTTTTCACTTTACAAAAAAATATTTTAATAAAATATTCATATGTCTTTTTAGATAAAATATTAGGTACTTTTTACAAAAGTAGAATTGTTAGGCAAAAATTTACATATTTTAAAATTAGATAAATATTGCAAAATCATTCTCCAGAAAGACTTTAGCAATACCACTTTTACTAATAATATATAAGGTCACTGGTTTCACTTACCTTCTCCAACACTGAATATTACCATTTGTTTTAATATTCTGCTGGTTGTAATTTATATAGGATTTTTCTTGGAATCTGTGCTTGTAAACTCAATTATATAATCCCAGCCATATAATCTCTGCCAGACATATAAGCTTTTGTTATCAAAACCTACAATAAATTGCATCCACCATCCTGAACAACAAAACAATATGACAAGCCATCACTTTTCTCTGTTGCTCCAGTCTTCTTTGCAATCAACCACTAGAATTATTTTGAATTTTTATCCTAAATTATTGTTTTTCATTACTTATCAATATTTTAAAAAGAGTCATATGAGTCATATGTTTTCTGTTTTTTATTAATTTATGACTACTCTTTCATTTCTATTCCCCGAACAAGAGTAATAATAATAATAATAATAATATTTAAAGTTAGTATTAAAATTTTGTTGCAGTGTTTTTGATTTTTTTTTTCAGGAAGAAACTATGACTGGTAAACCTACTGAGTCTTTGGATGCCCAAAAGAGATTTCATTTTAAACTCACAATTAAATGTTTATTACACTACATATAAAGTATAAAGTTAAAATACCTTTCTTGGGGTGATGATAACAAGATGGCTGACTAGGAAGCTCCAGGCTCTCATCACCCTCTGGGAACATCAAGTAAACAGCTAGAGACTAACTAAAATAGCTTTGTAGGTGGTCTGAAAACCAGTTAAAAATCTGTAGCAACCTACAAACAGCTGATCATGAAAAAGCCACACTCAGAATGGTAGGAAATTTCATGGTGTTTTTGCCGGCCCTTACTACACTCCCTCCTTAAAGTGGCATGACACAATCAGGAGGAAATTGCCCATTTACAAGTTTCTTCCTTTAGGAAGGAAGGAAAAAAATGGAATTTGTGTGCAACATTGTGGCCTTTCTGTGGGCTATATGAAGGAAATGATTTCTATATTGCTTGACTCAGAGCTCAGAAAGGAATGGCAGCATATGTTGGATGTCAGGTTGAAAGCCATGGACAGCTGTGGCAGGCACTATGAGACATGAAAACTTCAGGGAGAATGAAGACCTGCAGATGTGTGGGGGTAAGAAATTATGAACAGAGAAATGCACTGGAACATCTAAGTCCCCAAAAAGTAGAAGGAATAAGACACGTAGGGAAATTAAAACACTTAAAAACAGAATTTGTATAGAATAATTGGAAGAATATACACACAGAGGCCCAGAGGAGACGCATACTCAGAAAAGGTCTGAGAAGACCTTAAGTCTTCATGCTGGGCTGATAAGTGAGGCTTCTCCCCTGCCAGTCTGCAAATAAAGAAGGAAACATGTCCAATTCAAAGGAACAAAATAAATCTCTGAAAACAAAACTAAAGAAACAGAGACCTCTGACTAGACAAAAATTTAAAACAAAAGTCTTAAATATGTTCAATGAGCTAAAAGACATGCTCAAATAGCAATTTATGTAAAATCAGGAAAATGATTTATGAACAGATATCAACAAAAAGTTAAGTGTGTCTGTGTGTATTAGAATTAAAGAATTTCCAGAGCTGAAAAATACAATTGAAACAAAAAACTCACTAGAGGGGTTCAAAAGTAGACTTAATCAGGCAGAAGAATCACTGAATATGAAGACAGGTCATCGGAAATCATTGAGTCTGAGGAGTAAAAAAAAACCCCACAAAATTATAAAGAAAAATTGGCAAAGCATAAGGGATTTATGGGACCCCAAAAAGTAGACCAGGATAGCATTTTGGAATTCCTGGAAGAAGTGAGAGAGAAAAGGGCACAGAGCTTATTGGAAGAAATAATGGCTGAAAACATCACAGACTTGAGGGGGATAAATGGATATACAAATACAAGAAGTTCAGTGAATTCCGAGTAGGATAAACCCAAAGTGACCTACACTGAGACACATTATAATCAAACTGTTGAAAGTCAAGGACAAAGAGAGAATCATGAAAGTGGCAAGAGAAAGTCAATACCAGAAAGTAATTTGAAACCATATGAAAATACAAATTTCTCTAATCAAAGTAAATATATGGACAAATGTACAAACCTGTAGTATTGTCATTTTAGCTCATAACTCCATTTCTAATTCTTTATAGCATTTAAAAGATATAAAAAGGTATAAAAATAATTTAAATCCATGTTAATAGATACATAATATGTAAAGGTGAAATTTATGACAATAATATAAAGAGGGGCTAAGGTAAAGAAAGGTTTTGGCATGAGATTGATGTTAAATTCGTATTAGTTTAAAATAGATGATTATAATTCTAAGATACTGTATGTGATATTCATGGTAAACACAAAGAAAATATCTATAGAATATAAGAATATACACAAGGAAGATGTTCTGCGTGTAGATGGTGTCAGCCGGAGCACAATGGCCAAGAACAAACTAAGAGGGCAGAAGTCCAGGAATGTATTTCATATAGCCAGCCAAAAAAACTTTAAGTCTAAAAACAAAGCAAAACCAGTTACTACTAATCTTAAGAAGATAAACATTGTGAATGATGAAAAAGTTAACAGAGTGAATAAAGCTTTTGTACATATACAAAAGGAACTTGCCCCTTTCTCAAAAGGCCTTTCCCTTGAACCTTTGCAGAAACAGCTGATTCCTCAGCAGTGTCATGAAAACGAACCAGTTAATGTTGATGAAGCGACAAGATTAATGGCTCAGTTGTAATACACTGGAGATACAGCAGATACCCCAAAAAGACCAATAAATTAAATGTTTTATACAGTTTTATTTTAAAAAAAAAAAGAATATACACAAAAGGAAATGAGAAGGGAATTAGAGTATCAACACAAAAAAATCAGCTAAACACAAAGGAAGGCAGTAAGGAAGGAAATGAAGGACAAAAAAGCTATAAGAAACAAAGGAAACAATTTTCAAAATGGAAATAGTATATCCTTCCCTATCAGTAATTACAGTAAATATAAATGGAATACCTTCCCCCTTCAATCAAAAGACATATATTGGCTGAATGAATTAAAAAAAAACATAATTCAACTATAGACTGTGTATAAGAAACTAACTTTAGATCTAAGGACATGCATAGCTTGAAAGTAAAAGGATAAAAAAGATATTCCAGGGGCGCCTGGGTGGCTCAGTTGTTAAGCGTCTGCCTTGGCTCAGATCCTGATCCCAGGGTCCTGGCATGGAGCCCCGCATCGGGCTCCCTGCTCCGCAGGAAGCCTGCCTCTCCCTCTCCCACTCCCCCTGCTTGTGTTCCCTCTCTTGCTGTGTCTCTCTCTGTCAAGAGAGAGTAGTAGTAGTAACCAAAAGAGAGCACGGGATAGTTATCCTCTTAACAGACAAAATAGGCTTTAAGTCAAAAATTTGTTACAAAATACAGAGAAGGGCATTCTGTAACGATAAATGGATCAATTCACCAAGATATAACAATTATAAACAAAGATGCACCAAACATAAGAGCCTCTAAATATACAAAGCAAATATCAACAGAATCAAAGAAAGAAATAAAAAGATCCACAGTAATAGTGGGATACTTCACTACCCCCACTTTCAATAAAGGAAAGAAAACCAAACAGAAGATTAATATGGAAATAGAGGACTTAACACTATAAACCAAATGGACCTACCAGACATAAACAGAACATTATATCCATCAACAGCTGAATATACATTTTTCTCAAGTTCATATGGAACATTCTCCAGGATAGATCATATATGTTAGGCCACAAAACAAGTCTTAATAAATTAAAAAAGGTTGAAATCATACAGAGTATCTTTTCACAAAAAATTAAACTAGAAATCAATAGAAGGAAAACTACAAGATCCACAAATATGTGAAAATTATACAACACATTCTTAAACAACCAAAGGGTCAAAGAAGAAATTTCAAGGAAAATTACAAAATATTTTAGGACAAATGAAAATTAAAATACAACAAAACAAAATTTGCGCAATGCTATTATGAAAACAGTTCTAAGAGGGAAATTCATAGCTCTAAACGCTTACATTAAAAAAGAAGCTCTCCAGTCAACAACCTAATTTTACAACTTAAATACATTGGGGGGGGGGTGGAAAGAATCTAAACACAAATCTACAAAGCAAAAACTAAACACAAAACTAGAAGAAGGAAGCAAACAATACAGATTAGAATAAAAATAAACAAAAAACACCTTTCTTGAACTTATTCTAGGATGTCTCCCATTATTTTCTATATATGGTATTGTATAAAAAGCATCTGATAATCACGTTGATTTATGTTTCTTTGTAAGTAAACTTAATTTCCTTTTCTCATTTCTATGAAAGCATTTAGGATTTTTTATTTATTGATGGAGTTCTGAAAAGTTCCAGGATATGTTTGATTTTCTTTCTTTTGCAGATTTTGCTAAACCACCCAGCAGACCCTTTTAAATGAAAGCTCAGAGTTTTGTTTTGTTTGTTTTTTTATCTTTGAAAAGTTTCCTTTTATTTTTATGTTTGATTATGTCTCTTCTTCAATTACTGTTGTATCCTTTTAAAACTGCTGTTACAAGGATCCTGGCCCTCACAGTTTCCATCATTTTGTCTTCTTGCTGCATACCTTGGGAGATTTCCTGAATTTCATTTTCTGCATTACTAATAAAAGTCTCCAGTAATATCAAATACTTTATTCAGCCCTTCTGTTGAATTGTATTTGCACTCATATGTTTGTTTTCCAACAAATATATTCTTTGATTTTTTTTGTTTTGCAAATTCCTGTTCCTGTTTTTAAATGGCATACCCTCTTGAATTTTTATGAGTTTACTTATTAGAATGTTCAGTTTTTGTTTCTTAAATTTTGTTCGTTTGCTCCAAACTAATTTGATCTCATTGCTTATCTTGGTGTTTTGATTCCATGTTGTTGATTTTCCTCAAATACCGTGGTAGTACATTTATATACGTGAAAGATGTTTGAGGTTAATTCGTGTAATAGCTGGTGTGGATTTTCTCTGCAAATGATTTTTATTTCCCCAGCATGCCTCTGCTATGTTCAGGATAGCAGTCTGCAAATGTGTTCAATGTGGTTTGACTTACTGATTGCTAACATTCACTGTAAAGTCAAGGGGCTTGTAGCAAGCAGACAATTTTTCTCCCCACTAGCTGCCAAAATAAGGAGAGATTGCCTCTGACACTGAGGAAATTGAGTCTTTTGCTTTTCCAAGGAAGTGCCTGGTTTTTGTTTATTTGTTTTTCCAATGTCAAGTCTTCATTGACTGTCCTGAGTTACCTCAAACTGCTCTGCTTCTCTGCTAGAATCTAATGCTAATACTAGGCATTCTTGTCAGTGAGGAAAGTCACCTCTGAAATGTGTGGTTCTCAAGTTTCAACCTGAAGTCCAATATTCAGTGTAGGATCGATGATAGGGCTGGCCATGGTTTTTCTCAATACCTGTAAGGCATTTAAATGATTATTCTGTCAAATGCTCTAGAGGCAGCTTTTGCTCCTTGTATTTATTCCTTTTTCTGATCTCTCCTGTAGTCTTCTTCTGAAGATACTTTCAGCTATAATTTTCTTATCATTGTCATCTCATTTGCTTAATGAGCCTGGTCCACTGATGGCACTGGAAAATAAATTCCAGTACTGAAGAAAATGTATGCCTTTGTTATTTGCCATTTGCAGGAATTTGGAGGTAACAATGGAGGTAAATGCACAGTCCTGACAAACTGGCTGTCTGGGAAGATGCTATGAATTGGAAGAGAAAAACTAGTGGATTCAAAATCATATTTAGCTCCAAACATCATGTGTCTAGTCAAATGCCTTACACATTTTATTGAATAGCAGAGTACTTTATATGGTGTGGGTGTGTGATCATGATCTAGCTAAAATATCTAGGATTACTGTTCTCTTTCCTACTAATAAATACTTCCAACAATTTTCTGTAATTAAACTATAATTCTTTGGTAAGATACAGATGGAAACAGAAGAGCTTAGGTTCATATTAATAGCTTATCAGCATTGATAATAAAAATGTGGATAGACTTAAAATACATAGACACAATTAGACAGGAAGAAAAACAACTTTATTTTTATTTTAGAAAGAGAAAGAGAGAGAGAGCATGCATGGTGGGGAGGGGCAAAGGGTAAGAGAATCTCAAGCAGACTCCCTGCTGAGTGCTGAGCCCCACGCAGGGCTGGATCTCACGACCCGGAGATCACAAACTGAGCCGAAACCAAGAGTCGGACGCTCAACAGACTGCACCACCCATGTGCCCCCAAAGCAACTTTATTTTGATACAGTTTAGCTTGCATGTGAGCCCCAACTTCTGGTCTGTGGAGAGAAGGCAGAAGTGTGTTTGCACGTCAGAGTGCGGGTGGACTATTAATTTCACACGTTAAAAACAACCTGGTTACTTCAGTTTTATTCAGTCATTTAATTCTTTTGGTAGATAACCAGCTTATCAAGATTTCTACTCATTCTGCTTCCTTTCTTCCAGGACATATCTTTGTGCAAGAATTCATCTATTCATTCATAGAGCCATTCAAGCAATATTAATTGAAACCTGTTATACGCTAGGTACTGGAGATATAAACATGAAGGAGACCTGCATCACTCTTGCCCTCATAGTCTGACATTCTAGTTGAGACACATACACACACACACACACACACACAATATGCACATAAATTATAATATAACTTTAGATAGTCATAAGCACTCTAAAGAAAATAAAGCAGGATAAAGGGACAGCAAGGAAGGTAGAGGAGGCTATTTTTGGAAAAGCAATCTGGGTAAAGTCTTTAAGACTAGAACCTTTGAGCTTTGAAGAAAAATTTGAATGAAGATTTGAGACCTGAATAGAATAAATTTGTGCAGATCTGAATGAAGAACATTTTCAGAAGAAAGAACACCCTGCCAAGGTGTGAGTCGGAATAACCTTCTTGTGTTTTAAGAAGAGTAAGGAAACTACAGGGCTAGAGTAGACTCAGGTGGGTAGTAGCAGATGGGGTTGGAGAACTTACTAGGAGCTCAGTCATACAGAGCTGAAAGTAACATGAGTAGTGGAGGACAGGTTCAGGATTCAAGCTGTCTTGACCTTCCTTGTGCTGGAGGGATGCAGCTTATGGCTCTGCCCTTAGTTCCTCTCCCTCTGGAACACTGGAACACAGATTACACATGGTAACAGGCTCCCACATCAGTTCTCACCTGCACTGCCGATCCTCTGAGACTCAACCACATCTGCCATATTTTCACAGACTCTGCTCTGGGAAAACCTGACTTCAGATACTGGCGACCAGCTAGGGATTTCTTCCCCTTCCCTGACAGCCATAGGTAGTTTTTTCTTAGTTCCTCTTAACTGCACTAAAACAAAGACTTAGTGGTTATCTCAGGCCCTCTTGTTCTGGAGGCCATTTACTCTCTTCTGAAGACTCCCATGGTGGTGCTGCTAGGAGCCACACAATTTTGGGTCCTCAGAGGGTTACAGTCAGGAAGCAGACCTCTGAGGCAGAGGCTCAAAACCCTTTTTCCTCAAATCACCCCCACCCCACTGCCTGCTAGGATGTCAATTCCAAGGAAAAGTATAGTTGAGATCTCTCAAACGTCCTAAGCTCTGTCTGATCCCGATGTTGCCCTCTCTAACTTTCCCTCTTAACATCTCTTCCAATTCTTACCTCATTCTAGGAGAGAAAAAAAAAATGAAGTGCTCTCTTGTCCTGTCCTACTTCCTTAATACTATATGCTTAATTTTCATAAGCTCTATATTCTTAGTACAGCAGACTTTGGTTCTTAGTATCAGAGATGATTTTGA